AATCGTTAGAGAATTAATGGGCACGACGGATCGAATTTCTAGACGGTCTGTGCTAGTATACGAGAGAAGAAAACGCGGGGAAAGTTAATACCCGTAGGGGAATACCATCGCTAGACAATTGAACGTGAATACGTGAAATACTTTGCTCGAAATGGTCCTGTTTGGTTCATTGTCCTGGGCTAAATTTGTACCCATAACGAACCACGTGATTCATTGATTCAAATTGATGTGTGATTCAACAGTAGTATCAGTTTCAATACGAAGTATGTTCAAATTCATCAAAAAAATAATTTATTACACTTTCTGAAATCAATTCCTGAACCATTTGAATGAAACAACAAGGGTTTCTTCTCTCCCCTCTCCAGTTTTGTTCTCTAAAGTAATAGATTCGAATACAATGAAACAATGTAGAAAATGTATCTGCAGTTTTTAATTTGCAGTTAATCGGGACCATTTTGTGACATTGTATACGATCCACACTCCATATTCACGCGCCATATCACCTACGATTTACACACACCCCCCGCACCTTCAACAGCAACTTTATTACCCGTTTTATCACCCTTTCTTTCTACACGTAACCCAAACTGGTCCCTATGACTTAATAACATTTTTATACGTCGTTAAATTAAAATTACAATCCTCAACAAGTTTCTCATGCTCAAGTTTGCGCCCTTGCAACAATATCGCGATCGCGTGCCCGCGCGCCCTTAAACCGTCCGAAGGAAATCAACGATCTCTCCTCTTCGCACTGAATCATTTATAAAAGCCGCATTAATCGTCCACTGCCCAGCGAAATTATTTCGACGTTACAGCGGTCCCGCGGCACCGTCACGTCGTGAGAGCTCATCATCTCATCGTCGTATCCCGTTTAACCAATTGTTTCGCGTTTAAGCGTAGTTAGCTGCACTCCCGTGCGAGCAATTAACATTAACCGGGGCCGTAATTAACGTCTTCATAACGGATGAATCCTTCACCGCGAAAATAACGCGTCCACGTTACGAGGTTCATTAAATTCCTCGACCTGTAAAAATTCCACGCGAAGAACACACCTCTCTCCGCGGTGAATTTTATCATTGCTCTGTTTTTAGCCTCTCCATTTAACCCTTTCATTAATATGGGTGACTATAGTCATCCGACGTCGAGCGCTTCTTGTAGGTTAAAGGTGACTATAGTGACTCGTCAAAATTTCACGTTACTTAATTCTTTCCGTAAATTCAATCAATTAATCATACGTATTAATTAAGCAGATGTTACACTGTTTGTTGCAAAGCAGACTGGGGCACAATTTTATTCGAATAACACATAGCGAGAAGCCTCAGTATCTAAGGGCGTTACCCTGAGCTATGGACAGATAACGAAATGACGTGATTGTTCGCCAAATGTCGACACATTCGAGAGGAAGTATTATATTATAAAAATTGGAATTTTCCACGTTTCAACGATTACAAATAACGAACTACTCTTTTTTATCTTTTATTCGTTATTCGAAACTCTTTATCTAGATAATGAATTTGTCCATAACGAAAGGGTTAAGCGGGTCCGAGTTACTCTGTCTCAATAAAACGTCAGATTCATTCCCATCCTCGTCACCGGAAGACCCGAGCAAGAGTGTCCTCTTGAAACATTTTTAATCTTCCAGCGACACGGTCTGAGGTCGTTCTCCCGGTGTGTAGATCATCAGGGTTCACGGGAACGAGACTGGGACGAGATCATAGACGCAATTAGCGGTCGAGAAATAGGATTCTAATTCCATTAAGCAGGAAAGGGTTCTCGTCTCGTTGCTTATACGATAACAGGGTCCTGGAAAGGATGGCGGCGGGCTCTTAACTTCGAAGGGAAAGAATGCCTTTTCTACCTCCACCCCCTTTCTCTTCGTGGCTTCTATCGCGTTTAGATGTGCGGCCACGAAATTGGTTCTCGAGAAGAAGTAATCTCGGCCACGAAAGAGGTGGTCCCGTTGTCCCCGCGGAGGAGTACCTAATGAAGTGTACGTGAGAAACAAGTCATCGCCTGGTAAGAAGACCCGCGGGAGGGCAAACAACAAGACCACGGAACCGCCCTTAGCGGCAAGAAAATCTCTACCCCTCCCCCCACCCTTTCTCTTGGCAAGCCTCGAAAGAAGTTTGAAAAGTTTTTGCTCTCCAATCTGGTAGCCTCCGTTTCGCACGTGGTACACAGGGTGAGAACGACTTTCCGTATCTGAACCTATTCCCCACGGCGAATCATCGGGGCCACTTTTGTCCGGAAGTTCCGGGCAAGTTTATCTATTTGCTAAGCGTGGACGACGACCCCGCACGACCGGCTGCCCTTAAGGGCGCGCTGATTGAGTTTCGAAGGGAGCACAGGGTGGTGTACGTAACACGTACGGAACCGCTCTAAACTGCGTTCTCGTTCGAACTTCATTAAGCTGGTGGAGCAAAATTTTTCCTCCTTTTGATTTCAAAGTGTGTCGAGTGTCTCCCTGCGCGACACGTTTTACGCTGTCCAGGGTGTAATCTTTAGAGCGTAACGGTGACATCCTTTCAATTTTTTTGCCGTGTCAATTGTTAGGAGTTGTCGATTAATGTCATTTTTATGGATGTTGTAAATGAAGTAGTGTACGGGGCTATGCAAATTATTCCACTTTTATCCGTTCAACGGGTAATAGGTATTACTGGTAATTAACTACAGGATGTCATGGATGAAACATTACCACTTTAATTTGGAAATGAATTCTCCGTTAACTAAACTGAAAGAAAATTGTGAAAAGTCGTCGGTCCTCAACATGTATCAAGTAAACAAGTTGTTTAACCATGGAACTCTGTTATAAAGAAATGGTAAATTTCAAAATGAACGGACTGAGCAATGTTAAAACTAAATGGTAACGCTTCTTTTATGACACTCTGTACAACCTTTCCGCCAGCCGGGAAACTAGAGAGCTTAATTAGCAATATCAACGTCAAAGTTTCTTCCTGCTGTTTCAACAACAGTTGACGTTGAATCGAAACAGGCGAACTGTTGGTACCCGAGCATAGTTTAGATTTTCCAATCGTCTGGTATCCTGTTCGCCATTTCCAAAGCTGCACTCTTCACGCACGAACAGACTCGGTTCTTGTATTCGATTCTTCGTACAAGCGATTAGAAACTGCGTGTGTGTACTTCAAAGGCGATTCGTTCGAGTTACTGGAACCGTGCGCCGTGGCACGTTAACGAACCTCTAATTACCAGTCGCGCGGTCACGGGCTTCGAAATTGTCTCGAAGCCAGGCCAAGCGTAATTCTCATCGTAATTAGCTCCGGCGAGACCGGTCACGGAGTTAATTTCTCGTCCTACCACGCGTCAATCTCTCCCGATCGCTTCTGCCGGGGCGAGCGCTTACATTCGAAAGCCGTAACGACGACGAAGCAGAAAGCCACCAACGATTGTTGGATTCCGGGTTGTGGAATTGAGTGCAACACTTAATAAAAGAATCTTGAAGACGTTTATTCGACTACGCGTAACAGAGTTATCGTAACATTCTAAATTATACGTTTCGAAGTTCTCAAGTCTCCGTCGGAACCAGAATTGCCCCTTGTGTCTTTTCGGAAAGCTTACATATAATAGTATTCGGTGTTGTGATGGGGAGAAAGTTGCAATGGCCCTTCAGAAGCCTCCTCTAGGATTTTCGACTTTGAAAAGAGCAGATGCGACTGTGATTAAGATATTTTGGACATAACAGTTTGGTTGTGATTATCAGATAGGGTCGCTGGTGATTCAGGAAGCTGGTCATCCAACATGATAATGCAGCAGCAGCAGCAGCAGCAGCATTTGTCGCGACCTACTATCGTCTGTCTTTGTTCGCCAACGAAACGTGTTCGTTCCCCGTACAACTTCCGGTTTCGCGGAATTTAGCTACGTGCTCGCAATAAAACCCCGCCGGGGACCGAATCCAAAACGAAGAGGCCCGCGAGGGGACGCGCAACACGTCGCAATGAAAGCACTTCGCTTCGAGAACAAACCATCCGGGAGAGTAAGCGTGATAAACGCGGTGCTTCACGATTGGATGATTATCACCTCTGTACGCAAGAGTTCGCGGTAATTAACCCGGTGCACGCAATTCGACCGTCAGGCCGCCTACACTTTTCTGCTGTCTGTTACTCTTCGTTGCCGAGAAATACTATACTGTGCAATGGACACTTTATTTTTCATATTCTTTACTCTTTTATCGCTGTTGGCAGTTTGGAAATTTGCTTGTAACGTGCAGTTACCACGGCTGTAGCATCTGTGACTCATAAATTTGTTCACGAAAGGCTCTCACTTCGGTTTCACCAAATTGTTTAGCGAAATTCGAATTTTATTCCAAAATTAAGGAAAAGTTATGAGAACAATATGATAAAAGTGAAGATAAGGGGAATATGTAAATGGTTGTTCCGTCGTAGACCGAAACGACGGTTATACAGTCAGACGATACCGTTACTTTTTATTATTTTATTCCTTTTCTTTCAGTCGAAAAGATACATTCAGTCGAAAACATTCAATAGAAAACACTCGTTCGCAAACACTCGTTCGCAAAACATACTCGTTACGACTAGAGTCACACGGACTCAATTCATTCGCATTAACTCGCAATCGAACAATCATTCGACAACATTCGCATCACGATTCGCCAGCTCCAACGGTCGAGCAATTATTCGTTTTTCTCACTAAAGAAATTGAAACAGTTGCCTAATATTAATTTGGCGGGCAACAGTTCGCAACCGGACGCGTACCACGACGGTCGAGCCTGGAATTTACAACTCCAGGCGGATTCGAAAGAGAAATCCACGCGGACGGACGCGACAATGGTAATGACATAAAAGTTTTGACATCGAATTTTTGTTTCCAAGGGCATAATAATATTACATACGTGTATGTAGTTACAAAATTTCTAAGTCTTCCTTAGGGAATTCAAAGGTTCCCTAAATCCCCTCCCCAACGAACCTACGCACAATTGATTGCATTTTTCGTATTTAAACGATTTCTATTTTTCTGTTTGCAGGTCCCAAGTGACGTCAAGATCACCGTTCTTAAGGTAGGGAGAGGAAACAGTGGACTAATCGCGACGAAATATGGACCCTTTTGACTAGATATAAAGATAAGATTAAGTCACGCGTGCGGTTCGAACAGATTTTTCAGAACTCCCCGGACCTCTGGGGTTTCTTTTACATAATGCGTCGCTCGCGTTTTCAGTCGGATTTTCCTCGTTGGCCGACCACTCGGAAACGTTACACGCGGTTTAATCATTATAAGAGGGAAATCTACCGTGAGCAGTAATTGTTATCTTGGAAGAAATTAATTTTTCGCTGCCCGTCGGACGGTGATGCTAATTATTCGCGGTCGAAAACGCGAGGAATTAAGGAATCCGGTATCCGCGGCGTAGTCGAGGTAATTCCGGTGGCATGCGCGAAAACGAACGAAAGAAAGCGTCGTTAAAATGGGGAATCTCTAATTTCCAACTTTTCCGTTCGGCTTTTTAGCTATATACAGCTGAACAAAAACGAATGCCTGCCGGTCAGATTCGTTTCAGTTTAACGAATCCCACTAGTTGAGAACCGAAAAAAAAAAATAAGAAACGCAGCGGTGAAAAATTTTCATTACGCAGCACAACCGGAGAAATCTCGTCTTTGTTGTTCGAAGAACGAATAGCATAACCCCCGGCGAGAGTAAAATTAACATTCAAGATTTCCTTCTAATGAGCCACGTTTTTCCACCGAGTACCCATTGAACTTATATTCTTCGAAGAAACTCCGTCTTTAAATACACTTCTCCGCGTTCTTCGTACATAATTATTAATTCAATGGTAACACGCGGACAGTAGTTTCATATTTAATTCTCACTTCAGCAAATTATTCATCATTTCCTCATCGTATCTTCATATTCATCAGCTCAAGATTCACAAATCAATTTCGACATTCTTCGTCGAATCTTTCGAAAAAGAACGAGATATGTTAAGTAGGCTATTAGCACTTTCGGAACTAACTTTGAAACTTACCCCTCGCGAGTCGAATTAAATTCCTACCCCTCGCCTTCTGGAGGACTGACTTCGACCAGCATCATCCCCGCCCGTTAAACTTTTCCATTCGTTCTGCCACGGGCAGAACGGGGCCACGCAAGGTCTGCGCATTTTCCCGAAAGGTGACGCGCTATACTCGCCCGCAGAAAAAAAATCCGTCAAAATATTATGCAGCCCAGGGCTAATTGCATCGTTTCTATCTTGTTTGGGGGTGAACAGAGCCTGGTGTCTAGCACGGCACGCAAAGGAGAAAAATTCGAATAAAGCCGTCCGTCTAGCCTAGCAGAGAGAAATAAGCCACTTGAGCTTCAATCCGTTCCGGCTTACAAGAACTGCGATGTTTCCGCTCCCTTTATTAAATCGCCTTTCCCCAAGGGGTGGTGGAAAGAGCGAGCGGGGTGGCCCGAACAGCCGGGCGAACTGGGCTTATCGCGTCCTGTTTCGTGAATTTGGTCGATGGAACGGAGATGAAACAAGGGGTTGGGGGGGAGGATAGTGAAGGCGAAAAAAAAAACGAAAACAAGGCAACTTGTTCGCCTTGCTTCTCTCCTCTCCAAAGATCCGCGCCGAAACGTCGCTCTCTCGCCGGCGTTATCATACAACACGCCCCTCCCAGAACCCCCTGAACTTTTAATGAATCGAAAGAAAAAGTTCTCGCAGTCTGAGAAGGTTAATTTCATCCTGTTGAAGCTTCCTCTAGGGGAGACTGGGGGATGGGGAAAAAAGAACGTGATGTAACGTCTTGAAGCATTTAATCGCATGGCTATTTGCTAAGCGCTTTTCTCTCGCCTTGGCCTTCTCTGGCAAGAACTGGCTGATTTGTTTACTGCATTTAACGCGCTTGCTACGGAGCACCAATGACGCGTGCACGAAGGACGCTCGTCTGTTTCGCGACAAATATTGGATTTCAAGGCGCGTGGTTGGTAAGAGAAATCAAGGGTGTACAGCGCGATTAAAATGTTTGGCAAGTGAAAATCTAAGTGAGATTAGTTATGGTAGTGAAAAGTGAGTATTACTGCAATACATCGTAACTGAGCTTGTGGAATAAACGTAACAATTATCGTTACATCGTTCCACTGACTCATATCATTGTAGACGAAACACCACGAAGACATCTACCCCAAATAACACCACGAACTTCATTGGTATCGGGAGACACACAGTTGAAAAGAACGAAGGACGATAGATCGAAAGAATAATCCACGATCAAACCGATAAGCCAATAGGTATCTCCTCCGTGTGCCTAATAAATGAACTATCGTAATCGCCTGGGTCCCACGAACAGAGAAATTCAGTGCTCCGTGACGAATAACGTCGCGAACTTTTGCAAATTCTTGCCTCGGGAAACCGTGTCTCTCCTTTCGACCACGGATTAGTGCTCCCGCGGAAGTTTCTGAATGGACAGGACAGCCCCCCGTTTTGAACAAGGCGCGGTGATCAAGCGACCCTGAACGACTGGTGGGGCGTTTATGGAAATAAATTTAGATGGGCTTGGTCGCGGGTCCGTCGCGTATGCCGTTGCGTTGTGCGCGGCAGACGGAGCGGAAGTTGCGCCGCCTCGTGGCCCGCGGAATTTCTGGCGAAGCCCGAAGTAGGGAACCGTGTACACACAGAGAGAGAGAGATGGTCGACTGGTGGCGTGCACACTTTCGTGATTTATGAAACGCGCCGTAATTGACTTGCATTACGATGCAAATCGCTCCGGTCACGATACGACGCAAACCGGCTGTCTCTGATTCTTACGAAAAAACTTTTCAGTCTTTCCCCTCTCTTTCTCTATCTTTCTTTTGCTTCTTCGTTCCCCTTTATCGGTTTTTTTGTAAGCTCAGCACAATTAGTTACAGGTTTCACGGCTCGAGAAGTATTTGTACGGCGTTGCGCGGCACAGGGTCGTTCACTTTCTGGTACACGCCAGACCCGTTGTCAATACGGCTTTTGAACCGCCTATCGCGTGCTCGAGCTTGTATTTTTACCTGTCGAGAATATTTTTAACGGTATGCACGACCCGGTATACGAACGGTGAGTTGCTGTTTTCGTGCAATTACGACCTCTGAAATATGCATCCGCGACGATGTGTCTGTCGTGGAACGTCTGATTCTACTTCACGAAGTGACTACTGGATTTCGGTGTTGGTTCGTGAGTTGTCGTTTTGAATGGACTTGCGAAATAATAGTAATAATACAATTTTTATTTATGAACGGATTATGAACCCTTTGGCGCGATACACAAGTAGGTATATGGAAGTCTAGAAGACAAACGAATAGTTTACACAGAGTTTTCTTCGAGTAGTTAATAATCCACGGTGATGCATCGTAATCTATGGTCAACCAGTCCATTTCTGCTTCGGTAGTTCCAGTGTCAAACGATAAATTCAAAAATACATTCAAATCTTCTGTTTTCAACGAACGATAAAAATAACGATGACACTGCATGTTACATCAAACAAACCTCGGTTCAGCGATAAATATTCTGCTCAAACATAGCGAAAAGGGACGTAGAGTAGAACATACAACAAAATAGGAAATACGACTACGTTACATACACATCAATTCCACAATCAAACTGTACACTCTACACCTCTAAAATGTCTCAACTACGTAATACTACTGCCCTCGTTATACACAAGGATGAGTCATGAAACGCGAAACGCCTGAAACGTTCCCTTTTTAACGAAGCTACTTATTTTCAGCCGCTCCTAATAACAGACTCCGTTCAACAGGAGAACCTACATTTAACCTACCGCCCCCGCATCGTTCCAACCCCTGAATCTTTTGATTGTTTTCGCGAGGTGCACGCGTCTACGTATGCACGCGCGAGTTATATGCATTCGCCCGGAGGACAGGTGAGAAATGTTGTTCGACGATTTATGCGTTGACGATGGAGGGGAAGGGAAGGAAGAGGTCCCGCTGAGAAATCTCTGGCTGGCATAGTTGATTATTTGCGACTGCGCCCGTAGCTCACCACGCGCCGAGGGGATAAGTGCATATCCGTGTGAACATTGTATCCTTTCTTGCGGTTATAAGGTATGCAATCAACGCGTGCCGGCCATTTGGCCGCGTACAGCCCCGCTAGGAAATCCGGCAGAAAATTGGCATGGATTTTATTCACGAATCATATTCCACGGCCTCTATTCCTGTCGAGGTATTTTTCTGGCTTTTTCCTCATCCCCTTTTTCTACACTTCTCTTTCGGTGCCTCTCTCACCGTTGGATCGAATGAAATTAATTCTTCCATCGCGATCCCTCTGATATTTATTACAATCGCGAGGTCTGAATGGCGGGAGGATCGGATGAATACGGCTCCGCGGGAAATTAGTCGGACGGGATAGAAACGGAACCACCGTTGGCCCCGTTAAAAAGTTGTAAATTTCAGGCTCTCGTTCATTCAGTCTCGCGAGCGTCCATTCACGACACGCCTCGTGGCTTGTTATTTTTCGTATAATTCCGGTCGGACGTGGAATTCCGCGAACACAGGGGGTGGCTTTAGCTACTCCGTGTGCACCCCCTTGTATTTTGCAGACAAAACGCGCGCGCGGACGGGTCCCCTGATGTACAATAATTCATCGTGGTTGCCGCGGCTTCCGTAAGTTTCACCGTGAAACGCGCGACGGGAACAACAAAAACTGCGTGACTTTACAACGGGACCACCGGGGGGCTCCCCCGTAGGTGTCGTGAAAAGTTTCCGTCGTAATAAGGACAACGGAATTTTCCTTTACGTGCCTGGCTCCTTTTGTTTCCCGCGGAGAACCGGACACACGAACTTTCTCCACGGTGCAACTTCGTTCGCGTCGCGTATATCAATCGGACGACTCGGGTAAAACGAAAACATCTAGATTCTGTTAATGAAGAAAGAATTTTTAACCGAATGGTACAGAAGGTTGCACAGGTGTAGCGTGTGGAACGAAGTGCTGGAAACTCATAACTGTGGGAGGAATACATTACGGACAGTTTAGTAACAAACTGTATTTCCAAATGGGTACATGTTTGTGTGTATTTATTATTGCTCCGACTGTAGTTTTGT